CTTGAGCCTGAAGGCAAGCTGGAAACACTCTGTTTTCCCCAGGGACCTTAGTCTTTTTCTCCAAGGCCTTCAACTACTGGATGAGGCCCACTCTCATTATGGAGAGTAATCTGCTTTCTTCAAAGTCTACTGACTTAAATGTTAATCTCATTAAAAAATGCCTTCACAGAGACATCTAAACTAGACAAATTGACACATATAATTAACCATCACACTGGTTCATATGGTAATTCTATGTTTAACGTTTTGAGGAAATGCCAAACTGTTTTCTGCAATGGCTGAACCATTTTACATTTCCACTGGCAATGTTCCAATTTCTCTACATCCTCGTAAACACTTATGTTTTTCCATTTTTTGGATTTAGCCATCCTAGTGGGTGCGAAGTGATATTTTACTGTGGTTTTGACTTGCATTTTCCTAATGACTAACAATGTTGAGCATATTTTCATGTGCTTGTTGTTCATTTATTTATCTTCTTTGGAGAAATATCTCTTTAAACCCTTTGCTCATTTTAGAGTTGGGTTGTCTTTCTCTTTTTTTTTTTTTTTTTTTAAGGATTTGGTAAAGATTTATTTATTTATTTTCCATTTCTAGTCTTTTAAAGTATGGTTTCTTTTCTTTTTTTAAAGGATATGGAAAATATTTATCTTTTTTTCCATTTCCAGTCTTTTAAAGTAGACACAGATACGCTTAGGTTAAAGCTGATTTTAACAGCACAAAAAAGTTGAGCACAAAGGATAGGATTAAATTCAGCAATCCAGAGTGATAAAAAGGAAAAGATACTAAGTAGGTGCCTTCAACAGACACATTATCCAAGTTGATTACCTAATAGTTGGACATTAAAGTCCTTATGCTGCAAAAGTGAGAACAATCTGGTGTATGAAGTGTATGGTGACATTTGTAGCTGTAACTTGTTTTCTGTTTATTAAGCCCAATTAGCATAGCTAAGTGTAGTCTTTAGTAGACAACCTGCATCCATTTAAATTAAACATAATATTTTCCACAGCAGTGTAAGTAAGGCCACAATATTTATTTTGGGCAAACCCTTTAATGTAGTGATTTTAATATCACTGTCATTCATTCTTTTGGAATATAAAGTGTTTTAACTGAATTAAGGTTACAGATATTTTTTTAAATACTATATCATGACTAACATATTAAAACTATACTTACATATTTATATATAATACCCAAAGAAAATTCACTGCCAAATTGTTAACAGTAGATATTAAACAGTCTGACACCCTTATTAACTGATTCTATAGGTATAAGTATAGGTCAGTATGATTTTAGTGTCTATCCTTTCATTTACTAAATTAGGAAAGCAGTATTTACAGAACAAATAAAAACAAGTGAAGCAGCCACCCAAGGACCATAACAGCTCCTGAGTTAGCTGTGTCACAAGCTCAGATAGAAATCTCCACTATATGCACAAAGCTGGACTCAAATTATTCATCAAAAGGTGCTGGTAGAAGTTGTCGGATGCCTTCCAATATAGATCCCCAATCCCATGGCCACCAGATGAGACAGCAGCAAAACTCTTTAGAAATTCTGCTGAGAAAATGCCCCTTTTCCTCATCAGGCTTTAAATTCCATGCTGGGTAGCTGTGTGCTTCAGGTGCTTCAAAAGAGGAACTCCTTGTGGGGAACATTTTCTGGCCAACTTGATCAATCCCATATCCAACCTGAGCTTTTCTTCAAGATGCTTTCAACGTCTGTCTTTCTCTCAGTATCTTCCTCAGACTGAGAGCTATTTTTCTCCAATGTCTGTGAAAGAGGTAGGCTGTCATAGAACTTTTGGAGCTACTCTGTCCAAATTCAAATTCATTTTAAGCATCCAGCTGTATTTTTTCCATGTCACTATTACATTAATTTTTTATTTTTTTTAGAGATAGGGTCTCACTCTGTTGCGTAGGCTGGAGAGCAGTAGTGTGAACATTGCTCATTGCAGCCTTCCTTTGGGAAGCAAAGCAGAGGATTACTTGAATTCAAAGAAGTACTTTGGAGGCTTCCCAAAGCACTGGGATTACAGGCGTGAGCCACTGTGTCCAGCCCATGTCACCATTATAAACAGAAACTGATATTGGAGCACTGTTCCCCTTCCTATCATTGCTAAAGTGCAGTTCTATCCAGGAGCCCTGCAAGCTCTTTCTCTGCAGCCTGGGGTCCCTGCTCTGTGATATGGTGCCAGAAGGTGGCTATAGCAGTCTGGGTCACTGTTTGGTTGTGGTCTAGGGGTTGCATGTGCCCTCAGTGGCAGACAGTATAGCAGGCGAGCATGAGGGGTATGGGCCCAGTGCTCAGCCTGTCTTTTTGTTGTTGACTTGTAGAAAGTTCTGGATGTATTCTAGATAAGAGACCCATAACAGATACACAATCTGCAAACATTTTCTCCCATTCTGTAGGTTGCTTTTTCACTTTCTTATGTTCTTTGATGCAAAAAAGTTTTTAATGTTAGTGAATTCTAACACGTATTTGTTGTCATTGTTGCTCACGATTTTGTTGTCATATCTAAGAATCCATTGCCAAATCCAAGTTCACGGAGATTTACCTATTTTCTTCTGAGAGTTTTATGGTTTTAGCTCTTATACAGTTGATCCGTTTTGAGTTAGTTTTTTGTATATGATATACATATAACATATTTTGAATAAAGGAGTCCAACTTCATTCTTTTGCAAGCAGATATCCAACTGTCTCACACCATATGCTCAAGAGACTATTTCTTCTTCATCGAATGGTCATGAACCTTTATTGAAATTATAATGGTGACATGGACAAAGTACTGTGGTTTGTGCCTGTAATCCCAGTGTTTGGGTGACTATAAATATATGGGTTTATTTCTAGATTCTCAATTCTATTTCACTGGTCTATATGTCTATCCTTATTCCAGTAGCACGTTCTTTTTTTCTTTTTTTTTTTTGAGATGGAGTCTTGTTTTGTCACCCAGGCTGGAGTGCAGTGGCACAATCTTGGCTCACTACAACCTCCACCTCGCCTCGTGAGCTCAATCAATTCTCCTGCCTCAGCCTCCTGAGTAGCTGGGATTACAGGTGCCCACCACCACGCGTGGCTAATTTTTGTATTTTTAGTAGAGACAGGTTTTCACCATGTTGGTCAGGCTGGTCTCAAACTCCTGACCTCAAGTGATCCACCCACCTCAGCCTCCCAAAGTGCTGGGATTACAGGCATGGGCCACTGTGCCTAGGCAGTGGCATATTCTTTTGATTGCCATAGCTTTGAAATAAGTTTGAAATTGAGAAGTTGTATTCCATTTTCAATCTGCTTAAGACATACCCAAGACTGGACAATCTACAAAAGAAAGAAGTTTAATTGGACTTACAGTTCCACATGAAGCCTCACAATCGTGGCTGAAGGCAAGAAGGAGCATGTCACATCTTACATGAATGGCAGCAGACAAAGAGAGTGCTTGTGCAGGGAAACTCCCCTTTTTATAACCATCAGGTCTCATAAGACTGACTTACTATCAAGAGAACAGTACGGGAAAGATCTGCCCCCATGATTCGATTACCTCCCACTGGGTCTCTCCCACAACATGGGAATTCGTGATGAGATTTGAGTGGGGACACAGCTAAATCATATCAGAAGTATAAATTTTCCAACTTTATTTCTCTTTTTTAAGATTGTTTTGGCTATTCAGGTCCCTTTGCAATTATATGGAAGATCAGCTTTTCCACTACTGCAAAAGAAGTCATTGCAATTTTGATAGGGACTGCAGTGAATCTGTAAATCACTTTCTGTATTACTGCCATCTTAACATTGCCTTCCAACCTATGAACATGTGATGTCTTTCCATTGATTTGGGCATTCTTTAATTTCTTTCAGGAATGTTTTATAGTTTTCAGTGTACAAGTCTTTCACCTCCTTCGTTAAGTGCATTCCTAGGTATTTTATTCTTTTGGATGTTATTGTAAATGGAACTGTTTTAATTTTTTTTGGATTGTTCATTGAGGATATATAGAAACAGAACTAATTTTTTTTTTCATTATTGATTGATATGGTTTGGATTTGTGTTCCTACCCAAATCTCATGTCGAATTGTAATCCCCAATGTTGGAAGAGGAGCCTGGTGGGAGGTGACTGGATCATGGGGGCGGATTTCTCCCTTGCTGTTCTTGTGATAGTGATTTCTCACAAGATCTGGTTGTTTAAAAGTGTGTGGCACCTCCTCCCTCTATTCCTCCTGCTCCGACCAGGTAAGATGTGCCTGCTTCCCCTTCGCCTTCCATCATAATTGTTAAGTTTCCTGAGGCCTCCCCAGTCATGCTTCCTGTACAGCCTGCAGAACCATAAGCCAATTAAACCTATTTTCTTTATAAATTGCCCAGTTTCAGGTATTTCTTCATAGCAGTGCGAGAGCGGATTAATATACTGATCTTGTACCCTGCAACTCTGCTGAATTTACTACCTCTCGTAATTTTTTTGTGGATTCTTTGGGATTTTCTATATACAGGATCATATCATCTCCTATAATCTTATTTATTCTTTTCCAGTTTTGATGTCTTCTATTTAGTTTTCTTGCCTAATTTCTCTGGCTAGAAATTCCAGTACAATGTTGAATAACAGTGGTAAAAATGCAATGCCTTGTCTTGTTTCTGATCTTAGAGAAAAGCGTGCATTTTTTTAAAATAAAATGCTCTCATGCTAAAGCCAGTTGCATATTTTAATGGAGAAGAAAACATAGAAAAGTTGAAGTTGGGATACTGGTCATCTGAGATAAAGGTAGAGATAGCCCAGGGGCTAAAAGCTCCAAGGAAAGCAGATGGTAAGTATTAGGAATTAGACAGTGGAGCATTCTAGACGCAGTGCAATGTTTTACTTAACTGAATGGGATGAGGATGGGAACAGAAATGCTTGCTAATTAAAATGTTTGGGTAAGTTATAAATTCTACACAGTGTGCAACAAATATTAACTTACAGTGATAACACATGGGATATAGGATGTATAACAGAACAAGAAACTGGCACTTCTCCATGCAAATACCTGTAAGGTGTGAGTACTGTTTGAAGACATCAGAAGGTGTAGGTCCTGTTAGCAGAAAAACATCAATGATTCCACTTTCTGACATCCAGTGCACATGAGTTCGAGATCTGACCTTTTGTTTAGCAGCAACTGGGCCCATCTGGGACAGTGTATACTGGAAAAAGAACGGAATAAAAATTTGAGAAATTTCCCTTTAACCTGCAACATCCAGCCATATATAAGTAACAGTCTGTTCCTTTAGTAGATACTACTGATATTCACTGATTATACTGTAAAGCTTTTGGTGGCAGAGAAGTGCCACTACAAAGATAATAGCTATGACTCCACTGCAGTGGTTTTGCTTCTTCTTTAAGTATGACACGTAGCCATGATCCATAGCTCACCTCTACTGCAGGCTCTGTATTGATCTCCACCAGCGTTTCTGAGGCATTCAGCCAGAAAATGCCTATAGTTCTGCCCAGTTTGTGAGCCAGGAGATAAGGTACTGAACCATAAATGCCCATTTTATCATATATTTGGTATCCATAGACATCTAGGTTATAAAGACGGTAAGCATCTTCATCACTGAAACGCAAAGATTATCATAAATTACCATCACAAATATATTATTAATATTAATAAACAGAATAGCTCTACTCTTCTCTGAAAACACTTAGGTCCCATGCATCTTTGAAGGCTCAGGTCTTGCCACTTCCCTAAAGATTTCCTGACCCAACTTGGGTGAATGTGGTCCTCTTCCCTTGACTCCTTTGGCATCACTTCCTGTGACATTAGCACATATGATCACATCTTACACATCTTTTCTAAATATCTTTTTCTTTTTTCCAGACACGGCCTCACTGTGTCACCCAGGCTGGAGTGCAGTGGCATGATCTTAGCTCACTGCAACCTCCACTTTCCAGGTTCAGCAGTTCTCCCACCTCAGCCTCCCGAGTAGCTGGGATACAGGTGCGCACCACTACACCCAGCTAATTTTTGTATTTTTTGGTAGAGATGAGGTTTCACCATGTTGGCCAGACTGGTCTCAAACTCCTGACCTCAACTGATCTACCCACCTCGGCCTCCCAAAGTGCTGGGATTACAGGTGTGAGCCACTGTGCCCGGCCTAAATATCCTTTGAGTGGAGAACTCTCTCCAGTGAATACTCCACAATAGCAAGCACACAGTAAGTATCCACTGATGAATTTTGTGAGTACTTCTCTGCAGTTAAAAGAATTGTGTCCAACAGGCTTCCATAGTGTTTAGCAGGGGAAGATGGGGAACTGAATTGGGGGAGGCAGCACAGAGCTCAGATCAGTGTGAGCGCAGCACAGTTTCTGCTGGACTTGTCACTATGCCTACCTTAAAGTCAAGAGCACCTGAACCTGGCAACCTTATCAGACTCTGTTTCTCTTTGGTTTTGTTTCCTCTCAGTCTGATGCCTCTGGCATCTATTTGTCAATAGTGTTAGTCTGACATGATATCCCTGAGGCAACTAAAGGTGATCAGATGCCACATTATTCCATTCTTTGGCTCACTCTCCCATTTTTGTAAAAGACTTTTTCTGGGTCAGTGATTTTTTACAATATGTTCTCCTAGGGTTCCACAAAACGCCTTGAGAGGTAGAAGTGAAACCTGGGGATAAAGATCTTCCCTCTACTCTGATCACAGCAGCTCCATAATTTTACTTCTTCTGTATTTCTAGGTTCAGTACTATAGTTTTTACAGTTATCTAATTTTACCATAGAAAAAATAAATAAAAATGGAAAACCGGCCAGGCACAGTGGCTCACAGCTGTAATACCAGCACTTTGGGAGGCCAAGGTGGGCGAATCACAAGGTCGGGAGTTTGAGACCAGACTGGCCAATATGGTGAAACTCCATCTCTACTAAAAATACAAAATAAATTAGCCAGGCGTGGTGACAGGTACCTGTAGTCCTAGCTACTCAGGAGGCTGAAGCAGGAGAATTGCTTGAACCCAGGAGGTGGAGGTTGAAGTGAGCCAAGATCGTGCCACTGCACTCCAGCCTGGCCAACAGAGCAAGACTCCGTCTCAAAAAAAAAAAAGGAAAACCACTGCTCTGAGCGATCACCCAAGGAGGGTTCTTAAATATCCACAAGCAATATAAAGGAGGAAAAGGCCTGGCACATAACAGCACTGGCTCAGACAGCTAACAAATGTTTTCAAATCATCTCAATACAGAAACCAGAGCCTCCCATAAGAATTCTTGTTTTCACTTACCCAGTATTTTTAAGTTGGTGTGATTCTGCATGTTGTGGGATCCCATAGAGATGCTCAAATCCATGCAAGGAGAAATCCAAACCAATGGAAGAAGGACCTGTAGAAACCAGGACACCAAGTTTTGTTTTTGAAAGGACACTCACGTAAGGAGATTCAGTTAATTCTGAGTGCAGAGAGATGACCAGACTAGAGGCTGAGAGACCTGGGCTCAGCTAGATCAATCAGCAAATGCTGTGTACTGACCCTCTGTGAGATATTATATTCAGGTGTTGTGGGGATACAAAAATGTTTAACTTAAAGTTCTGGTCACGTATTAGTTCTGTTGCCTTAGCTGTGTGATGAAGCTCTCTGTTTCCTCTTTCCAGTAAATCTCTTTTCCCTCTATAAAACATGATAACAAAGTTTTAGAGTTTTTTCCTAATCAAAATTTTCCTTATCACGTATTTCTTTGCTTTAGGAAGCAAAGGATATTGCACATTTTCGGTCTTCACTAGATGAAATGACTGAATGTCTTGTGCCGGATCACTCATTCTTACTGCCAGCCTCATCTGTGACTGCCTATAGAGAATGCAAACGTCAAGGGCACCAGGAGGGCCATAACTGGTTCCTCAAAATATTCCTCCTCTGTGATTGTGATTATATAAACTTCCTTTAACCAAAGACAAAGTCCTTTATTTAGCAATCATTTTAGAGCTACGGGAAAAATGTAAATGACTAGGAGGTATAACTTGGACTTTAATTTATGCTAGGTTAAAGTATTTGACATCAAATGGTCCTTATTTGTAGGAACTTGTGGAAAAGAGATGCTACAGAGAAGATAAAAAATATTATGACATGGATGGGTATGGTGGCTTACTCCTGTAATCCCAGCACTTTGGGAGGCTGAGGCAGGTGCATCACTTGAGGCCAGGAGTTCAAGGGTGCAGTAAGCCATGATCACGCCACTACACTCCAGCCTGGGTGACAGAGTGAGAAACTGGCTCAAAAAAACAAACAAACAAACAAAAAGATTAAAAGATTATGATGTTATAGAAAGGAAGGCCTGAGAACCCATGCCCCCATTTTTAATTTGGGGCATTCTGTCAGCCCTGATCACTATACTATGTTGTGGATAATAATGGCTAGAATGGGAATTTTAAAGGTGTTAGAAAGGGTTTGTTATTCTACAGAGTAGGGAGGAGGAAAGAGGAAAATGAGTACTTTTCTAACTGCATAAGTCCCTAGTACCTGAAAGACACCTCCTAAAGAGACAAACTTGCCCCCTATCCCAATTCCATCACTAAGCCTGGTAAGAAATGTAACAGATAGGAATGTGATACCCATGCGAATGATGGGCCTAGAAAAGGTTGAGAACCATTGGCTTGAAATGTTGCAACTCAGGGGCTCTAGAACTTGGGTTTCTCATCACTTGACTCTCATAAAAATTGAATGTGGAATTTGTAGCTGTCTTATCTAATGAACAGTGCAAGCAGTGTGCTGACCTAGGCCCCTCCACGAGACCATAAGCTCCATGTGGCCTATATTTCTGTTACACTTCCCACAAAAGGCATATAATTGCTATTTCTCTGTTGCAATGCATTATTGAAGGATAGCGAATCTGATCTGAGATTTCTATTCTTCTGTTAAAGTCACCTGTTTTAGGTACCAGAGATCAAGGGGCTTTTAGATAGAATTATGCAGCCATTTTTGGAATGATCTGTTTTAATACTACACCAGTTTCAATTTTACCATTAGCTTTGATATCCACAAATTTTCCAAATTTCTCTTCCCACAGGCCTAGATCCTCTTGATTTTCCTGTTGGTACAAAAAAGGGAGCAAAGTGAGTTTACAAATTGTAACAAATGTGTTCACCACAATAGCACATTTTATTTGGATTTTTTTCGTAAAAGACTGAGAAAGTGAGTTCATCTTTTAGAAGAACAGTGTGTGATGTCAGTACATTTAACAAATCAAATCTGTGTTCTATATACATGTCAATAATCATCTTTATGAGTCATAGCTGACATGACTATATATTTTTTATTGTGGTAAAATATACACAACATAAAATTTACCATTTCAACTACTTTCAAGTATAAAGTTCAGGTTCAGTGGCTTTAAGTACATTCACATTGCTGTGCAACTATTGAAACTGTACCCCAAAGAGTTAAATAAGCCAGTGATTAACAGAAATTCTTGAGCTTATAAGATGGCAGATAAGAAAAAAAAAACAAGTTGCTGAAATGCTAAAACCCTCTGCTTGTGAGATTAAAAAACTGGCTGAAATCAGTTGGAACCAATTAGAGTCTGCAGAACAAGCTTGCTGGCGACATAGCCTGAACTGCCACCACATATTTCATACTAACTCCCTCTGAATTTGCACAGGCAACCTATGAGGAAGCATGAAGAGATAACTGCACATGCCCGAGACTCTTCAGACTTCCCTTTCCTTCCACCAACCACCTGCTATAATATAATCCCAGAATCTACTCCCTAAAACTTTCTAATAAATTACTGCCTTAAGGCCAGCACAGAGACAAATTTGAGCTGGACTCCTATCTCCTTGTTGGTCAATCTAAAATAAAAACCTTTTCTGTTCTCAAAGACCTGGTGTCACAGTATTGGTTTCTAGTGCATCAGGCGGCAAGCCCCTTTGCTCAGTAACACTGTCACCACCCATCTCCAGAATTTTTTTTTTTTTTTTTTTTTTTTTTTTTTTTTTTTTGAGACGGAGTCTCGCTCTGTTGCCAGGCTGAAATGCAGTGGTGTGATCTCGGCTCACTGCAACCTCCAACTCCTGGGTTCAAGCGATTCTCCTGCCTCAGCCACCCAAGTAGCTGGGATTACAGGCGTGCACCACCACGCCCAGCTAATTTTTGTATTTTTAGTAGAGACAGGGTTTCACCATGTTGGCCAGGATGTTCTTGATCTCCTGACCTTGTGATCCACTCGCCTTGGCCTCCCAAAGTGCTGGAATTACAGGTGTGAGCCACCATGGCCGGCCTCCAGAACATTTTTTTTTCCTAGGCAGTGCCCGGGGGTGTGGAGGGAGTCTCTGTAGAAGCCTCTGAGCACTGCCCATCTGCAGAACTTTTTCGTCGTCCCAAACTGAACCTCCTTTACCATTAAAGAGCAACTCCCCGTTTTCCCCCCACCCGTCAGTCCCTGGCAGCCACCATTCCACTTTCTGTCTTTATGAATTTGAATACTCTAGGTACCTCCTACAAGTAGAATGATATATAATTTGTCCTTTTGTAACTGGCTTATTTCACTCAGGATAGCAACTTCAGGTTTCATCCATGTTGCAGTATGTATCAGAATTTCCTTCCTTTTTAAGACTAAATAATATTCCATTGCATGTATTTATCACATTTTGTTGGGGCATTCATCCATTAATGGACACACTTCGGTTGCCTCCACCTTTTGGCTATTGTGAATAATGCTATGAACATGGGCATACAAATATCTGTTTGAGTCCCTGTCTTCACTTCTGGGTATAGACCCAGACGTGGAATTGCTAGATCATATTGTGATTCTATGTTTAATTCTTTGAGGAACTGCCATAACTGTTGACATGAACATCTTTACAGGAACCAAAATGTAAAAGTGCTTTGAAAAATGCAGTCTTTATATATGTAAGAATTGAAAAATTTTTTTTCTTGTAAATATGTGAGGCAAAACATTTAGAACAAAATAACTTAGGTCTGTTTTAAGAGATCCTATGCAGAGATTTGTTTTTGCTGAGATGGGCACTTTACCCCCCTGCTTCAATCAATCAGCCAAACTACTGGCTACATTCTTGTGCTAGTTTGAGAAGTTGAGTCATCTGGGATGGCAATGACTGCTCAGGTACATAATCTTTTGAAGCAAAGGTATAAACTTTCTCAGCTTTATAAAAGTCTTCTTTTCCCTAGAATAAAAAACTTTAAAAAATTGTGTATGTGTGAAATGCATATTTCTTTAAATGACTCTTTGTCCATTTCTAGGTTCATAATTAAAGTTTCTGTAAAGCAAGCCGTTTTTTTTTTTTTTTTTTTTTTTTGACAGGGTCTTGCTCTGTCAGCCAAGCTGGAGTGCAGTGGCACAATCACTGCAGCCTTGACCTCCTGGGCTTAAGTAATTCTTCCACCTCAGCCTTCCGAGTAGCTGAGACTACAGGCACATGTCACCATACCTGGTTAATTTATTTTTATTTTTTATAGAGACAAGTCTCACTATGTTGCCCAGACTGGTCTTGAACTCCTGGGCTCAAGCAATCCTCCCTCCTTGGCCTCCCAAACTGTCGGGATTACAGGCATGAGCCACCATTATCTAGCCAGCTGTATGTTAAAAAAAACCAAAACACCTGAATGCATAATACAGGGGCTACTATTCTGGGGTCCCTGGATGGGCTTTAGAGTCCATTAACTCCCTTAAACAGTATGAACAATTTTAATTTTTCTACAGAGACAGTTCATAGTTTCCATCAGATTCTTGCAAAGGGGTCTGTGACTCAAAACTACTACCTAATCTATCTACTGTCAGGGCTCCTTTTTTGTTTTTATTTCTTCTTAAAAAAAAGTGGGGGGATACATGTGCAGAACGTGCAGGTTTGTTACACAGGTATACAAGTGTCATGGTGGTTTGCTGCACCTATTGACCCATCCTCTAAGTTCCTTCCCCTCGCCCTCCACCCCACAACAGGCCCTGGTGTGTGATGTTCCCTTTCCCATGTCCATGTGTTCTCAATGCAACTCTCACTTACAAGTGAGAACATGCAGTGTTTGTTTTTCTGTCCCTGTGCTAGTTTGCTGAGGATGATGGCTTCTAGCTTCATCCAGGTCCCTGCAAAGTACATAATTCCATTCCTTTTTATAGCTGCATAGTACTCCATGGTGTATATGTACCACATTTTCTTTTCTTTTTAAATCTCTGAACAGTGGATTTTGTTACTTTTATGTTGATTTTCATTATTGGTTTATTTTATTAGACTTTAAGTTCTGGGATACATGTACAGAATGCACAGGTTACATAGGTATACACGTGCCATGGTGGTTTGCTACACCCATCAACCCATCATCTACATTAGGTATTACTCCTAATGTTCTCTCTCCCCTAGGCCCCCACCCCGCAACAGGCCCTGGTGTGTGATGTTCCCCTCCCTGCGTCCATGTGTTCTCACTGTTCAACTCCCACTTATGAGTGAGAACATGTGGTGTTTGGTTTTCTGTTCCTCTGTTAGTTTTCTGAGAATAATGGTTTCTAGCTTCATCCATGTCCCTGCAAAGGACATGAACTCATCCTTTTTTATGGCTGCATAGTATTCCATGGTATATATGTGCCATATTTTCTTTATCCAGTCGATCACTGATAGGCATTTGAGTTGGTTCCAAGTCTTTGCTAATGTGAACAGTGCTGCAATAAACATATGTGTGAATGTGTCTTTATAGAATGATTTATAATTCTTTAGGAATATCCCCAGTAATGGGATAGCTGGATCTGATGGTATTTCTGGTTCTAGATCCTTGAGGAATCACCACAGTCTTCCACAATGGTTGGACTAATTTACACTCCCACCAACAGTATAAAAGCATTCCTATTTCTCCACATCCTCTCCAGGATCTGTTGTTTCCTGATTTTTTAATGATTGCCATTCTAACTGGTGTGAGATGGTACTCATTGTGGTTTTGATTTGCATTTCTGTAATGACCAGTGATGATGAGCTTTTTTTTATGTTTGTTGGCCACATAAATGTCTTCTTTTGAGAAGTGTCTATTCAGAACCTTTGTCCATTTTTTGATGGGGTTGTTTTTTTCCTGTAAATTTGTTTAAGCTCCTTATAGATTCTGGATATCAGCCCTTTGTCCGATGGACAGATTACAAAAATTTTCTCCCATTCTGTAGGTTACATGTTTACTCTAACGATAGTTTCTTTTGCTGTGCAGAAGCTCTTTAGTTTAATTAGATCCCATTTGTCAATTTTGGCTTTTGTTGCTATTGCTTTGGATGTTTTAGTCATGAAGTCTTTGCCTATGCCCATGTCCTGAATGGTATTGCCTAGGTTTTCTTCTAGGGTTTTTATGGTTTTAGATCTTATGTTTAAGTCTTTAATTCATCTTGTGTTAATTTTTGTATAAAGTGTAAGGAAGGGGTCCAGTTTCAGTTTTCTGCATATGGCTAGACAGTTTTCCCAACACCATTTATTAAATAGGGAATCCTTTCCCCATTGCTTTTGTCGGGTTCTCAAAGAGTAGATGGTTGTAGATGTGTGGCATTATTTCTGAGGCCTCTGTTCTGTTCCATTGGTCCACACATCTGTTTTGGTACCAGTACCATGCTGTTCTGGTTACTGTATTCTTGTAGTATAATTTGAAGTCAGGTAGCGTGATACCTCCAGCTTTGTTCTTTCTGCTTAGGATTGTCTTGGCTATATGGGCTCTTTTTTGGTTCCATGTGACATTTGAAGTAGTTTTTTCTAATTCTGTGAAGAAAGTCAATGGTAGCTTGATGGGGATAGCATTGAATCTATAAATTATTTTGGGCAGTATGGCCATTTTCACAATATTGATTGTTACTATCCATGAGCATGGAATGTTCTTCCATTTGTTTGTGTCCTCTTTTATTTCTTTGAGCAGTGGTTTGTAGTTCTCCTTGAAGAGGTCCTTCACATCCCTTGTAAGTTGTATTCCTGTTTTATTATCTTTGTAGCAACTGTGAATGGGAGTTTGCTTATGATTTGGCTCTCTGACTATTACCGGTGTATAGGAATGCTTGTGATTTTTGCACATTGATTTTATATCCTGAGACTTTGCTGAAGTTGCTTATCAGTTTAAGGA